AAAACCAAACAAAGTTAAGTCTGACACAGAGAAAGGGACCGATGGCCGGCCAGCCGGGGTTCGTCTTTATTTACGTTTATGTGTGTGTACTTCTAACATGTTTGGTTGGTAAAATAAATGTTGTAAATTCAAATCAGAGCGTCTTCCGTGTCTGGAATGGATGTATTCTTGAGTCTATAAGGTAACAATAATATAATAAGATAACCTTGTTTGAAATGGGTTTGGCTAAAATAAAATTTTGGTTTCGTCTATACTACTAGGTACTTATACTATATTGACTGGGTTAAATATAATCGCATTTCTAAAAAGAGACTAAACTACAATTTTCATTGACTAAAACTAGATTAAATGTCATCAGTTTTCGTCGACTAAAACTAGACTAAGATGCTCAGACTTTTAGTCGACTAAAACTTGACTAGACTAAAAAGAGTATGAACGTGACTAAAACTAATAAAAACTAAAATGACAGTTTCACACAAAGACTAGACTAAAACTAAAATTAAAACAGGCCGCCAAAAACAACACTACTGGTGGTCTATACACAGTATCCAGAGCAAGAGACACGATAGATTTATTTTGCATATCTGACAGTGTAACATTAAGCAGAAGTATTTTGAATGAGTTAAAGCTGTCTCCTGTCTTCTGAGTAACATTGAGAATATCTCTATATATTGTTGCAACACCGCTGCCACGACCAGTCTGACGGGGCTCATGCTTATAACAGTAGCTTGGTGGAGTAGACTCATTTAGACCAATATAATCATTTGGTTTTAGTCACTCATTTAGACCAATATAATCATTTGGTTTTAGCCAGGTTTCAGTCAAGCAGAGTACATCAAAGCTATTATCTGTGATCATTTCATTTACAATAGTTGCTTTGGGTGCGAGTGATCTAATGTTTAGGAGCCAAAACTTTAAAAATCGTTTTTGTTCATTTAGATATTGCAGTTTCCTGGCATACATTTTGAATATTTATTTGATATTTATTCCAATCCAGACTTACTCAGGCCTCTTCTGTGTGGTGGTGAACCCCTATAAGTTCTTGCCCATCTACTCTGAGAAGATCATTGAGATGTATAAGGGGAAGAAGCGTCATGAGGTTCCTCCCCACATCTATGCCGTCACTGATAATGCCTATAGGAACATGCTGCAAGGTGACCACCAGTCTTAACTCACTGAATGCACCTTATAAAAACTATTAGAAAATTCACAGGCTTACTGTGGTTGTTATAGGAACTAGAAAAGACACACAAATCATGGCTTCCTTCCCTAAAGTAATTCTTTCAGTGTTGTGTAATTGTGCAACGCAAATATAGAATAATAAGGAAACTGTAAAAATTAAGATTATTCATAGTTGTTCAGTCCAGCAGAGCCAGCTGTGTATTGGAGAGTGTGTGTGTCAGGGACTGTGTTTTACAGGCTGTGGATTAAAGGCATCAGAATTGCCATACAAGGGGCCTTTCCCTTTCTCACTGATTTTTTTTACAGCTATTTTGGAAGGATGAACTGAAGTTAATCCCACCCTGTACTCAATTTAGAATATGTAAGATTTTGGAGGGATCTCCAATGAACAATAGTGGAGTTTGTGTTTAGACACCCGGGCCCCTTGTTAATCTCGTTCAGGTTCTTAACTGTGACAATTCATGCATTTCTTGTCCTGTCCTTGTACTGAGTTCAAATGTTTCTGTTTCTTTCTCCACAGAGCGTGAAGACCAGTCTATTCTCTGCACGTGAGTTCTAAATGCCCTACGTATTGTTTGCTCCATATACTCTTAAAAATACATTTCTAATGAAACTAGTCCTTTAATAGTAAAGCATTTAGCCCAAGATTGACTCAGGAAAGAAGTATCCACTGTTTCTGTGAGGCACCATTCAGTAAAGATGTAATCAGCCGATACATTTGCAAGAATTACCAGAGCTTGAGTTTGACTGGTCAAATATTACGAGCCATTTATATGCACTATATCATAAAATTTGTTAAGCAGCCTGACATGTAAATTATTATGCAAATGATTATGTGACATGTGGCAGCATTCTTTAATGTGTGTTTAATAGTGGCGAGTCAGGTGCAGGAAAAACGGAAAACACCAAAAAAGTCATCCAGTACCTTGCAGTTGTGGCATCATCACAAAAAGGGAAGAGAGATTCTGGATCTGTGAGTTCCAAGTTTCAATCATTTAACTGACTAACATGTCATACAGTATCTGTTATAATAACAGTTTTTGCATGCCCTCATTACTGGTAAGGTTTTGATAACAGTGTATTGTTTGATTAGAATAATAGTCATGTCTTTATGATAGGATATAAACGCGTCAGCACTAAACAAGATATATTTAAATATTACATGCAAGGTGCACTACTGTGGGTCATTTACAATTGTGTCCATACAGATATGCTTCTGCATGTGCTTTGTGATTTTGGAAGGCTGTTCATGAAACAAAACACAACTGTTGGACTGATTACTGTTGATTATTTTTTGCAATAATTCACAGAATATACAGATCTGAAATAAATAATCACTGGATATCAAATACACAACTTTTCAATTTTAACTCAATTCATTATTTACCCCCATTTAGCAACAAAAAGGACCCCAGTTAGCATATGTGAGTACCTAAGCTTATTGTCATACATTTTTGGATGTCAATCATGAATTATGAATTAAACATGGCTACAACCTGAATGGCCTTTTACTTTAATATATACTCAACTATAATATGTAAAGTACACTAGAAGAGCTTTTATTTTATAGTTTGACTGCATTGAATCACGATGAAAAACATTTGCTTTGTCCGTTTGTTTAGGGTGAGCTAGAGAAGCAGCTCCTGCAGACCAATCCTATTCTGGAGGCATTTGGCAATGCAAAGACCATCAAAAATGATAATTCCTCAAGATTCGTGAGTTAACAATTCATTGTTTTGGTACTGAATATTTGCTCATTATCATCAACATTAGTGTAAAAACGTTTGCTGTTTTTCCTTCTCAGGGTAAATTTATTAAAATCAATTTTGACAACACCGGCTACATCGTTGGAGCAAACATTGAAACCTGTATCCTAATAAATCTTTCCACTGAATCTGAACAGTTTGACATCCAAATCAGTTAGAACAATCATTTCCAAAAAATATTTAGACTTGCTGTATATCATAAAGTCAAGCACATTCATTTTCACCTTAATGACGTAATGAATCCAGACCTTCTGGAAAAGTCTCGATGTATCCGACAGGCCAAAATCGAAAGATCCTTCCACATCTTCTACTACATGGTGGCTGGAGCCAAAAACAACATGCGAGGTGGGTGAGGACTGAGAATTTCTATTACAGCAGCTTTGTATTGAGTCTTATGTAATTACATTCCCAAATACAGATCAGCTAATTTTGTCAGTTTATTAGTTTTAGTAGACAGTTTTAGACATCATTTCAGACACACCACTAGCAGTCATTCCCTTCCACAGATGAGCTCTTGCTAGAGGACTTTGGTAACTACCGGTTCCTGGTGGCTGGGCATATGCAGGTACAAAACCAGCAAGATGATGAGATGCTTGAAGAGACTCTGGAAGCCATGGAGGTCCTCGGCTTCAATGAGGAGGAAAGAATTGGTATGTGCAACAAACAATGACTAGTTTTATAACTTAATATCCTATCTTTTCATGCTGTTTTACATGAAGTGTTGTTACTTTTAGGCATGTTGAAATTATGTTCTACTGTGCTGCAACTGGGGAACATTGAGTTCAAAGCAGAGAAAAACCAGGAGCAGGCCAGCATGCCAGACAACACAGGTAAACAATCAGTCTAGAGGGATTAATCTGTAATGTTGCTCTTATCCCGAACTATCCCAACTAAACCAAAACGCTCGTATGTTGTGGTAAATGCATCCACCAGCTGCACAGAAAGTGTGCCATCTGCAGGGGATTAATGTGACTGACTTCACCAAAGCTATACTCACTCCTCGCATCAAAGTAGGCCGAGAGCTGGTACAGAAGGCACAGACCAAAGAACAGGTGCATTACCACACTATGCCGTACAGCTATAATGCATTATTTTTAAGATTTCAGCTGATTTTTTTTTTTTTTGTATATACAGTGTATATATCAATTTATATAATATAATATGTCAATTTATCAGGCTGACTTTGCAGTTGAAGCCTTGGCCAAGGCTATGTATGACCGTCTGTTTCGCTGGATCTTGGCACGTGTCAACAAGGCTCTAGATAAGA